AAAGGATGTAGGCAAGAGAAAAATAATAATAGAGAGAATAGAGATATTGTGAGAGAAAGAGGTAAAAGGAGGGAAGGAGGGTGGAGGGAGGGATAGAAATAGAAAAGTGCAAGCTTGAGAGAAGGACAAAATGAGAGAGGAAAGAGGGAGGGATGGATGGAGAGTAGAGAAAAGAGGATAGGAAGGATAGAGAGGTTGATAGTGCAAGAGAGATAAGATAAGAAAGGGAAGAGAGCACAAGAAAAAAAATGGAGAGAAATGAGAGCAAGAGAGATAGAGAAAGAGAGGGAGAGAGTGAGAGAAAGAAACATGATAAAGAGATTAGAGAGACAAGAAATAGAGGGAGAGTGTGAGATAGTGATATAGATAAGGGGCAGCTAGGGAGAGAGATGAGAGAAAATAAGAGAGAAAGAAAGAGGCTGATAGATTAAGAGATGAGTAGATATGAGAGAGAGAGAGGGAGAGAAAGAGAGGGAGAAGTTATAATTTAAGAGAATGAGGTAGAAAGAGGAGAGATTGTAGGAGAGTGAAAAAAGGAGTCTTAGAAGAGATGGAGATAGAGGGAGGGCGTGGGGGTGAGGGAGGGAGTTAGAAAATGGGAGGAAGAGAGAGAAAGAGAAGAGAGAGAATGAGGGAGAGAGCAAAAGAGTGGCAAAGAGGAAAAGAGAAGAGCAAGAGAGATAGAGAAAGAGTGAAAGAGATAAGGCGATATAGAGAATATAATTTGAGAATGGTGAGAGAAAGGGAGATAGAGGGATAGAAGGCCAGTGACTGAGAAAGAGGGAGGGAGAAAGAGGGAGGTCAAGAGAGATACAAAGTGGGAGAAATAGTGAGAAGGAGAGAGTGTTGGAGGAGAGACGGATAAAGGGAGAGAAAGTGAGGGAGAAGGAGAGAGGGAAAAAGGCATAGAGAGATGAAGTAGAGAGAGAAGACTTTGTGAGAAAGAGCGAGAGATAAGAGGGGAGAAAGAGATAGAAAGAGCGAATGAGAAATAAGAAGTGAATGTGAGTTTGAGAGAGGATGAGAAATTAAAAGAGATGGAGAGAGATGGTGAGGGAGTGAAGAGAAAAAAGAACAAGAGAAGATAAAATTTGAGAAAGAGAGGGAGGAGAGAGAAAGAAAGGGAGCGAGAGAAGAGATAAAGAGATACATGAGAGGAGGGTGTAGAGAGAAAGAGAACAGCAAGAGAGAAAAAGAGTTTGTTAAGGGAGAGATAAAGATGAGAGAGAAGAGAGAGTAAAATAGAGTAAGCAAATGAGACAAACAAAAAAATGAAGAGAGATCAAGAAAGATAGAGTGAGAATGAGATATGGAGAGAGCAAGATAGAGCTTATGAGAAAGACAAAGAATAAAAAATGGAGAGAAAGTAAGGCAGAGAGAGGATAGATGGTATAGAGTGGAGGGTAAGAGAGGAGGGAAGAGAGGATGACACAGAGGGAGAGTGAAAGAAGAGCAAGAGAGAGAGAGCTAAGAGAAGAGAGAGCTAACAGAAGAGAGAGCAAGAGTAAGATATAAAGTAAGAGTGAGTGAAAGGGTAAGAGTGCAAGAGTGAGGTGGGGGAGAGGAGAGAGAAAGAGGAGTAGAGAAAGTCGATGAGATAGGAAGAGAAAGTAAGAGAGAGAGTGAGATGAAAAAGGAAAGGGTGAGGGAGAGTGATAGCATGGTAAAAAGATAGAGAATAGAGAGCAAGTGAGAGAAAGGGAGTAAGAGAGAACAAGGGATGAAAGAGAGATAGAGCAAGAGAGAATGAGAGAGAGAGAAGAAGTGCAAGGATAAAGAGAGAGATATTTAAAGAGGAATAGAGAGATGGGGAGGAAAGAGAGAGAGAGAGAGAGAGGTTGAGTAAATCGAGAGATGGAAAAAGTGGTCAGCTATAGGAAACATTAAAATGTATTCAGGGGATGATTTGTTGCTCTTGGGGAGGAGAGGTTCATCACTTTATAATAAAATAATAATCTATGATTGCGTTCTATTTGTTTATCTATTTTTATTTGTATTATTATAATAGTATTTTTACTATTTAGATTATATTTAATTAAACATATATTTATTGATTCATCCCCTTTAACTTCATATTCAACTCGCATTGAAGAAAAAATATTACGTCCGGACTCCGGACGTAAAACTGTGTTCGAACTCCAATAAAATCTTGCCACGTGCCGTTATGTGTAAGCTGTCGTCTCACGAAATAAAAAAAAATGAAAAATCACTTTATTTTAATGCGTGACCCAACTCGAACCAACCTATTGCATCGAAATTCTACTGCGATTTTTTTGTTTAGTTATTGATGTGTTATTTTTGTGGTATTGCGACGACTGATTGCAGTTTATTTTTCTGTTATTTGAGTGGTGTTGCAGTTTTTTTGCGTGCTGGTGTTATTGTAATTTTTTTATTGTGTTATTGAGTGTTATTGAGATTTATTGTGATGTTATTTGAGTGGTATTGCAACCACTGTGTTGTAATGAGCTGTAATGGCGATTTTTTATGGAGTTATTACACTTATTTGGTGTTATTGCGATTTTTTTGTGGAGTTATTGAGGTTTATTGTGGTGTTACTTAAGTGGTATTGCAATGACTCTAGCGTTGTTTCAGTTTTTGTGGTTTTATTTAAGTGGTATTGCAGTTTTTTTGCGAGTTTGTGTTATTGTGGTTTAGGGTTATGTTATTGAAGTGCAATTGATGTTTATTGTGATGTTATTTGAGTGACATTGCAACACTTATGATATTATTGTGATTTTTGGTGGTATTATTTGAGTGGTATTGTGGTTTTTTTTGGCTGGTGTTATTGAATTTTCTTTTTGATATTATTGAGATTTATTGTAGTGTTATCTGAGTGATATTTTTGAATAATATTATTTCAGAGTTATTGTTGTGTTATTGTGATATTATTGCATTATTATTGTGGTGTTATTGAGATGTTATTTTAGTTTTATATGAGTGGTATTGCGACGACTCAGTTGTATTATTTTCGACTAGCGTTATTATTGTGTTATTGCGGCATTTTTGATGTATTGATGTGTTATTGGGGGTTTTTTTGTTGAGTTATTGAGGTTATTTGATGCTATTACAATTATTTGGTATTATTGCGGCTTTTGTGAAGTTATTGAAGTGTTATTGAGGCTTATTGTAGTGTTATTTGAGTGGTATTGCGACAGATGTAGTGTTATTGCAATTTTTTTTTGGACTTATTGAGATTATTTGGTGTTATTGTGGTTATTAGATGTTATTGCATTTTTTGTGGAGCTATTGAGACTTGTTGTGGTGTTATTTGACTGTTATTGCAGCGACTGTGTTGTTATTGCGGTTTTTTGGTGAAGTTATTGATATTATTTGGTGTTATTAGGATTATTTGGTGTTATTGCCGTTTTTTGTAGATATTTATATTTGGTGGGAAGGGTTTTATTTTCGAAGAAATGAGTATGATAGAATGGGATCATTCATTAAAATATAAAATATTTTATTTTTTATTTAATGGGATCATAGATTCTATGTTGTGAAATTTTATTGGTGTCTGGTTTTAGAGTGGTCGGGTCTCTAAAATGTAATATTTTTTCCGTATTGAACGTACAAATTTGGAACATCACCCATTCTTGATTTATAGTTATTTCGAGCCAGTTAACAGCTGGAAAAAAACAATGGCTGTCAAAACGCAAAACCGCTGTCTTGGAACTCTCTAGAACGCGAGGCGTGGTGCCTATCGTAATTAACATTAGGTTCAAGGGCATTCACCCTGCCCGGAACCACCTCACGAAATCATCCACCCGCATCGACGTCTCCATTCACGCGCGACAACACCAATGACGTAGTTCCCATGTTTGCCGTGATATCTTTGCGATCCACTTGCATTAACGTACCAATCAAGTATCGCCACGGCGGTGGATTACATTATGCTAATTTGATGCGAAGGAACTTTTTAATCAAACCGCTGACCGGCAAAATGGGCGGTTTTTGAATTCCCGTTAACGACCTTCTGGAGCGTCCAGAACAGCCCTAGGTGACCACGGAGACTCCTATATAAGGGTCTCAAATACCGACTTTCTTTGATCATTTTTCCTGCGCCATTAATTCCTCTCCAGTCGCTTCCTATCTCCTTGTTATTCTCGATAGCCATGGGTAAATGATTTTTTTTTTTTTTTAATCTGATAGGATGCAACTTCGCAGGATCTGGTTCGTTTTTCTTGATTTTGATTTTGATTTTTTTTTATTTGATAGCATCTGGTGGAAAGATCAAGCTCGGAATTAACGGTAGGTTCTTTTTGTTCATGCTGGTTTGGAATTTTTTTGATCAATGAAGGAGGAGTTTGGGTTGCTGATTATTGGGATTTGATGATTGTCTTAGGTTTTGGAAGGATCGGACGGCTTGTGGCTAGAGTTGCGCTTTTGAGTGACGATGTGGAGTTGGTCGCTATTAACGATCCGTTCATCACAACGGGGTTTTTTTTTTTTTTTTTTTTTTTGTGGATCTGTTGATTCGGCGATCTGATTGTTTATGCCGTGTGATTGACGTATCAGTTGTGTAATTTTCTTGGTCAGTTGAGATTGATGGTTTTTCTAGCCATATAAGATGAAGTATTACTTGTTCAGACTGTCGTCAGTTATGTTATGGTGGATTGGGATGTTAATGGTGGCATGGGGTTGAAATGGTTTATGTATGTAAGCGCATTCCATTGCTTAGGTGTCTGACGGAGTGTTTATAGTCGTAAAATCTAACTAGTTTGGACTTAAGGTGCCATCTGCGTTGATAGCGATGTATTTATTTGTTGCAATCATTCTATTGTAAAACATCTTTGTTATGCGCGATTTCTTTACTGTTATCTTTTTTTTCTTAAATTCTTAGGAAAACTGATTTTTGATCGGACTTGAGTGATCTAGCTAAGGTATGGGCTGTTTGGCTCCAAATAGGAATTTAGTGATCCAGATTTTCTATATCTTTTTATGTTAAAACAGTAGCTATTTGGCATGACAGATTCTCTTTGTTTCGGGGTGTAAGATTTGTTGAAGGGACAGGTTTTTAAATCCGAGCAGTGGGGTTAAACAATTTCTGATTTAACTAAGAATAGTGCTGAAATTAGGTGTTATTAAAACTGTAGGATTTAACTTTGCAAAATTTTGTTTGGCCTGATTTGAGCCGAATCTTGGTCAAATTCAGTTTTAGCTCAAATCTTGCCTACTATAGGATATAAAGACCAGCCATCAGCCTTCCTTAATGTCTCTTGTTAGTTAGGGAACCTTGAACAACAGCGTTATTAATTTGTTAACCTGTTTTCAGCTGATATCTACTAGGCAGCACTAGTTTAGGACACAACTCTTATTCATATGAATGTTATTTAGGCAAACTAGATCTTTTTAATTTATTTTTTGGGCGGAATCATTCCGTTTGGTCTTGTGTGTGGCAGCCTCACATGTTCACAGTACTTGAAAATTCTGTAATAACTATTTTATCTGGTATTTAAAAAAGAATTATTGTTGATTACAGTATTCAATTATTATTATTTAACTTGGAAAACTGTAAGCAGACATACATGTTCAAGTATGACACTGTGCACGGGCAATGGAAACATCACGAGATAACAGTGAAGGACTCCAAGACCCTTCTCTTTGGGGAGAAACCTGTCACAGTCTTTGGCATCAGGTGATCTTGAAAAATAGGTTTAGTCTTTGTCATCTTGTGAATTCTGATGATAATCTTTTTACTTGGATACTAATTACTTTGGCATGTAAAGGAATCCTGAGGAGATCCCATGGGGTGAGGCTGGTGCTGATTATGTTGTGGAGTCTACTGGTGTCTTTACGGACAAGGACAAGGCTGCTGCTCACCTGAAGGTATAACTCAAGTTAATTTCTTAAATCTCTCATCACATCTATATTTTTAGCTGAAAGAGGAAAATTTAACTCATTTCTGTTGTTTGCAATTTGTCCAGCTGGTCATACTATTAAATGTTTATGCTTGTAATACTGGCTTCTGTGATGGAGCTTTCTTTGTCTTTCTTCATTCTGCTATTTGATTGACAATCTGAGTGCAAACTGGCTTTGTAACTGTTTTTGAAATACAATTCTTAACGGAGGAATGTTGACTTAGGGTCTAAAGTTTTAAGATAGAAAATACTTGTTACTATAATTGGACTCGATGGAATAATTACTGTTTCTTATTTTCACTGGTGATTTAATAAAGAAATTGTGTCATTTCTTCTTCATGGATCAACAGGGTGGCGCAAAGAAGGTTATTATCTCTGCACCTAGCAAAGATGCTCCAATGTTTGTCGTTGGTGTTAATGAGCATGAGTATAAAGCTGATATTGATATTGTTTCTAATGCAAGCTGCACTACCAATTGCTTGGCTCCTCTTGCAAAGGTATATCTAAAAATTCTTTTTTTTTTATCAGGGATGAATTGGAGCATTTTTTTTATTGTGGTGATTGATAATTGTCTGCGTTTATCGTGGCAGGTTATTAATGACAGGTTTGGCATAATTGAGGGCTTGATGACAACTGTGCACGCAATCACTGGTCGGTTTACAAAATTTTTATTACTTGTAGTACACAAGGGCTTATGTTTTAATTGCATTCACGTTGAAGATTACTCTAAATCTTATTTCTTATCTTCTGATCCAGCAACTCAGAAAACTGTTGATGGTCCATCAAGCAAGGACTGGAGGGGTGGAAGAGCTGCTAGTTTCAATATCATTCCTAGCAGCACTGGAGCTGCCAAGGTATGGCATGCTTGGGTTTTGTGGCGACATTCAAGAATGCTTTTTTTTTTTTTAATTCAAAAATTGATAGAATGCTCCCTTATGTTGTTTTGGCATCTACTATTTCATTACCTGTCATGGTAATGTATTTTGGATTTTATTTGCAATAACTGTTGAGCTACAATATACTTGTCAATAGCAAAATAAATTACTATAGTGCAAGAGCTCCTGAGTTATAGAGCCTGCATTTATGTAGAGAGCTATTTTAAAAATTGGAGCATTTACATACATAACACAATTCTTATTTTAAAAATAATACAACTCATATTAACTATGAAGTATGAATGGTTTATTAGTTATTTAAAAATATAAGAAAATATTTCTAAATACATAAAATAAATAAATCTATCAATATCACATATTAGAACATAAAATTTTTACACAGGTATGGAGTTTAACAAAAGATATTAATATTGAAAAATCAACTAAGGAAATTATATTTACGAACAAAATTATCTTGGTTGTGACAATGTAGAATGTTAGGATAAAATGCAAAAACTGAAGCTGCAAAATAACTTTGTATACAAGCCTTATTTATATACATCGAAACCTGAAGTTATTATTATCATCATAAACTAGTCTCACTCATCATTTTCATGTCATCTGTAAGTTTGGCATAGAAGAAGATTTTTTATTTTGTCATTTCTCTGAAAACATCTGCTCCTTATGCTATTCTAACAAAAATAATATTAAAGACTAGTTAACTAAGCTAGCACAACAATTCATAGTGCGAATAAGTGCCATTAAGTCCACCTGTGTATTACCATATCAATAGCACAAGGGGTGCATGTTTTGTTATGCTTCCTATCAGCCATAAACGCTTGTTTTTTCTTGTGCTATTTGACTTGTCTGATCTGCCATTTTGAAAAATTTCTCCCATATGTAGTTCAGTTTTTCTACATTTCTTAGTATACACTTTTTATAAAAATCTTTATTTAGATTGTTTCTCCCGAGGTTGTTCCTGTTTTTTTACATTTCTTAGTAAAATACACAAATAAAATTAGATGGGAACGTCTAAAAGACAAATAAAATAAATTTTAAGGCTTTTTAAGATTTGATTTGTTCATGAGAAGCTAATTCTATATGGAATAAAGTAATAATCACTATTAGACAAGTCACAAAAGATGTTTTAGGAGAAGTAATAGAAAAGTTATTATAAATAAATATAATCGGTGATAGAATAATAATGTGCAATAAAAGATAAAAATATAAAAAGTTTTGCTATAAAAATTGGTTTAAATGTAAAACTTAAAATTAGGGAATGTATAAGGAGATCCGTAGGGAATTTAAGTGAACAGTTTGTGAGGCTAAGAATTCCGCCTTTAATAATCTTTATAATAAATTATATACTAAATATGGTGAAAGAAATGTGTAAATTAGTCAAACAAAGAGGAAAGAAAATTAATGGTTTAATTTAAATAAAGCGTATTAAAGATGAAAATTAAAATGTGTTTTTCTTAAAGAAAGCTATTTAACATATGTGGTTGAGATCTTTTGATTAATGTTTTAATGAAGTTGAATATATGATTGACCTTAGTAATCCTAATATCGTTAATAATAATAAAACTTATTGTTTTTTGCTGTTGTATTAGTAAGAAAAAATTTGATGAGGTTATAAAGAAAACCAAGCGTGAAAATTTAGTAGGAACTAATGATATTTCAATAGAAGTGTGAAAATATTTTGGATATATAGAAATTTATTGGCTTACTAAACTTTTTAATGTCATTTTAAAATTTAAAAGATGCTTGAAGGGTGGATGAAGAGTATTTTGGTTCCAATATTTATGCATAAAAAGGATGCACAAGAGTTTGCAAACTATAAATTAGATAAGTTGGTGTGTCATACATTAAAATTATGAGAAAGTGTAATCGAACATAGGTTAGAATTTTATACAAAGATTTCTTAGAATTAGCTTGGATTGATGTTGGACATACATATGATTTTTATTGATTCAAAAAAGCATACAATAAAATTCCAAGAGAAATTTTGTGGAGAGTTCTAGAAAAGGAAGGTCTTGATAAGTTGTATATTCAAGTTATTTTCGAGATATGTATAGTAGAGCTATCACTTGTGTTCGGTTTGAAGGAGGCTTGACCGAGCAGTTTTCTATTTCAACTGGATTCCATCAGGGATTAGTTTTAAGCCCTTATCTTTTTGCTTTAGTTATGCATGCACTTACTGGACATCTATAGGAGGATATGCCTTGGTGTATGTGTTTTGTTGATGATATTATTCATTTGGATAAGACTAGAGAAAAAGTTCAGGATAAATTTGGATTATGAAGGTCTACATTAGAGTCTAAAAGTTTTTGTTTGAGTCGATTTAAAATTGAATACATGAAATAGAATTTTAGTAGTAATAGTGGCAGAGTTATAACAATGGCTGATCAGATCATTAAAAGAGTGTTATTGATGCGGATGTTATTAGTAGAATTTAAGTTAGATGGTTAAAGTGGAGGAATGTATTGAGCCTATTGTGTGATAGAAAAGTATCACTTAGACTTGATGGAAAATTTTATAAGATGGTGGCAAGACCCGTAATGCTTTAAGACGTAGGAGAAGCATAAAACTAAGTTAAAATGCTACTGAGATGAGAATGCTTAGGTGGATGATTGTCTTGACTCTTAGAGACAAAATACAAAATGAATGTATCCGTGAAAGTGTTGGCATAGCTCCAGTGGTAGACAACATTAGTGAGTCATCTTAGATTGTTAGGTTATATAAAGCGTCGACCATTTGATTATCCAGTCATGAGAGTAGATGTTTTAGATTCAACTTGTGTTGAGAAAGGTAAAGGTAGACCTAAAAAAACTTAATTAAATGAAAATATGACACTCAATAGGACACAATGGAGAAAAAGGATTCATGTTGCCAACCGCACTTGGTGGGATAAGGGCTTGTTGTTGTTGTTGTTACTAATATGCACTTTCATGAAAATGGTTACTGTTAATAGTTCCCATTAAATCTTTTAATGAGTTTTGAGTTTTCTAGTTGTTACCTTTGGAATATGCACTTTCATGGAAATAAAAAACCTGAACGTTGCTGTTTTTATTAAAGCAGAAAGTTTATACAGTTTGGTGGGGAAATACAATCTTTTTTTTTTTTTTTTTTGTTTTTTCTCTTCCGGGAAATCTATGATGGTCCGAAGTAAGATTGACACGCTGCTCCTGTCATCTTTTTTTTTTTTATTTTTTATTTCCCAGAAATGAAGAAATATGTGTTTGGTTTTATTTTGTTGTAGCTGCTGTTAGCTTGGTTTAAATTGATGTCTCATCCAAATTCTAAGTATCATTTTTTTTTGGTGAAATGAAAAGGCTGTTGGGAAAGTTCTTCCTGCTTTGAATGGGAAATTGACTGGTATGTCCTTCCGCGTACCAACTGTGGATGTTTCAGTCGTTGATCTTACTGTTAGAATTGAGAAGAAGGCCACGTATGAGGACATCAAGGCTGCTATTAAGTAAGCTACTAATCCAATCCCTCTTCTTACAAACACCTTAATAAGAATAAATTGTCGTTTGGACTTTTGCTTGTAGATAGTATTATAAGCAATTATTACTACGTGTTTTGAAAACCTTTTTGAGCATCATTGTGTTAGTATTATATAGCCCAGCATTCCTTTTACCGACTTCATATTAATGCATCTCTTTGAATTTGCTTTACAGGGAAGAGTCTGAGGGAAAGCTTAAAGGTATCATTGGCTACACTGAAGATGATGTTGTGTCAACTGACTTTCTGGGCGACAGCAGGTATCTGTTTGTTATGTTCCTCCTGTATGTTCCACTTTCTTGTATTTAGGGGTGTAAATGAGCCCGAGCTTGAGTAAGCCAAGTGATTCTTCATGTTTGGTTCAATTTAAATTCATTTGTTCGTTTCAAGCATAAATAATTTTAAAAATTTATATTTTATATATTCTTTAAAAAATTACATAAAATTTGGCATAAGAAGGTATAATAAAATATTATTTTTAATTATTTGATTAATTCGAGCTAAAATAAGTAGAACACAATTGAATCAAGGTCTGTTAATGTTTTGTCTCATTTATAAATTGAACTCAAAAAAATTGTGTGATCGGCTCGCTCAAGTAGTTAATCAAATGAGGAATTTAGCAAGCCCAATTTGTATGAAAGCCCAATTTGTATTCCCCAGTTGTTTTTTTTTTTCTGTTAATGATTGTTTATTTTTCCCTCTTTTGTTGCGATTATATGATGCTACTTTTGGTGTTATAAATATAGGTCTAGCATTTTTGATGCCAAGGCTGGAATTGCATTGAACGATAACTTTGTGAAACTCGTGACCTGGTATGACAACGAATGGGGCTACAGGTAAATTCCCAAACTTTTCTTCGTTTGCTCCAACTTAATTTTTTTTACAGGTAAATTCCCAAACCTCAACTTTTCTTTGTTTTGTTTATTGCAGCAACCGTGTAGTGGATCTCCTTCGCCACATTGCCAAATCAAAGTAGATTGATGAGAAGCTCGGTGACACTCCCACCTCGCACTATTATAATTTGGCCTTTATGGTTGTTGTCTTTGTTCCTAAGTTTTAATGAGAGAATAAATGGATGAGGTGCTTCAAGTAATGTTGATGAACATCGTAGTTTTATTTTTCCTCGTCATTATCTTGGCATGCGGTTGTGCTTGCCTATATTTTGTTAATTGAGGTTTTGCTAAGACCCCCTGCTATTTGGGCCACACGTCAATGTGGTTGTGTTTGCATTGGTTTTGCAAGTACATTTTATGTTTTTTAGTAGAAAAATATCTTTGTTGTCTGATTCTAATATATACCTGTGAGGCTATGGAAATGCCCATCTTTGTTGTCTGATTCTATTATTCCTGTGAGGCTATGGAGAAGCCTTGCACGGGGTTTTGGACCGTTGTTGACGATTTTTTCAGTGGAATATTAGATTAGAGAATAATTCCTGTGAGGCTATGGAGAAGACATACACCTGGTTCTGAACGGTTGTTGGTTAGATTTTTTTCTTTTTTCATTGGACTATTAGACTGGATAAAAGTTTCTGTGAGGCTATGGAGAAGCCATCCACGGGGTTTTGGACAGTTCCTGATTAGATTTTTTTTTTTCTTTATTTCAATAGAATATAATTTCAGAGAAATTCTTGATTAGCTGATCTACTAGATTTCTTCCTGTGAGGTTATAGTGAAGACAACCACATGTTTATTGGACGGTTGTTATAGCTGATCTCTTAATCTTTTTCTTGTGCGAGGACAACCACATGTTTATTGGACAGTTGGCTGTTAAATGTTCACATAAATATTAGATGAGTATGTTTTGGTTGTCCAGTTGTATTTGGAGATGATAATTTTTGTATGTATTAGAGGAGCAATCACAAGATGTTGGATGCCCCGTCACTTTGGATGATTTTGAACGGTTGTACTTATTGGATGCCCCATCACTTTGGATGGTTGGTCCGGAGCGTTTAACCAAAGTGACGCTGCTTATCATGTGGTTAATATAAGAAACTTTTATCGAGCTTCAATGTAATTGTAAGGTGTCGGTTTTTTTTTTTTTTTTTTGGTTTTTTTCAAGCTATTTATTTTTCAATGCAAAAA